CTGGCTAAGAAGCCCTAACGCTGAGCAGATAGATACCCGCCCAATGGCTCGCCTGCAGAATTCAGACAGCCAGAAGCGGTATGCTGGCTATATAAAGCGTTTTATCTGCTACTTACTGCGGGTACATAAGGCCCAGCAATCAGGCGGCGATAGAGATAAGAGCGACAGCTTCTGCAGTCAGCTAGGACAGAGAAGCAATTCAGATTCAGACTCTGGTATTCAGAGCAGTAACCCTAAGGACAGAATGCGCGATGCAAAGAGGCTGTTCCCATAGTCTGGCAACCAGAAACAACTTACCCAGGCCTTTTTAACTGCTCTGCATCTAGACCCTGAAGAGGTCCAGATTGCCTGTTTACTTCGCCTGTTAGAAGGGTTCATCTTCCAGACTACAGGAGATAAACCTTTTGAAAGTAGATTAATTCACTTTCTAGCAGTTTTAGGCATTGATGAGTCTACTAGACGTCTTAGAGGCGCCTCTGATTTCTCTTACATGTTAGCAGGGGTGGTTTACTGTACACGCGTGTTGGCTGTTGAAATTCTGCTCCCAGCTGCCACACGTAAGGAGAGGCAGCTACGTAGTCAAGAGCGGGAAAATTTCATCACAACAAGAAGGAAATACCTGGTAGATGGGTCATATAGCCCATTTAGCGAAATGCTAAGCCTTCTGGCTTACTCAAAGCATATCGCCCGGCAAGCTGCGAACACCCCAATGTCAATGTGGTCTAACAACCGCGATACTCTCTACCTACGTGGTCAGCCAATTCAGTTGTCAGCTTTTCAAGCCATAGTTACTGGCTTGCTACAAGAGGCAGAAGACTACCTATAGGAAGAATTGCTGTAGACGCCAGCAAAGGGGGACCGCTTCCAGATACCCCTGGGAAAGATTCAGGACAACGTTACCTTCAGCCAGCGTGGCTACTCATTCCTTTCGCATCCTGAAAATAACCTAACAGGTTGCTAGGAAGCAACTATATCTAAGATGCTAGCAAGCCCCCAAGGCCGCAAGCTATACAACACCAATAATTCAGCCTGGAAGCCCCAACCAGTTCGCCGCTACCTTCGCCAGGTTGAGAGGTTCCTTGAATACCTGCTCTTCCTTACCCACATAACAGGCGGGCAGCCAGCACGAGGTACTGAAGTTACCACTACACGTTTCCGCAATGGCTATGTACAGGACCGAAATATCTATGTCATAGACGGCCAGGTGGTTTTTATCAGTAGATATCACAAAAGTCAGGCAATGTGGGATAAGCCCAAGGTGATAGCGCGCTTCTTGCCCTGGAGAGTCGGTCAGTTATTCGCTGTCTTTCTAGCCTATGTCCAGCCGCTTGCTGAATACCTTGAGGGCGAGAGACTCAACAGAACCCCCACAGATTATGTGTGGTCTGGCAATACTGGCCCCTGGGAGACAAGCCGGCTTAGCCAGATTATCGCCAGAGAGACCCAACGTTGGCTAGGCTGCAGGCTTACTACCCTTGAATATCGCCATACAGCCATCACAATTGGGAGAGAAGTGGTTAGTAAGGAGTTTGGTGAGGGCACTCAAGAAGCACTTACAAAGGGGGATTTAGAGGAGCCTGAACAGCAGCTTGAAAGCGGCCTTGATCTCCAGGCAGGTCGTTCTGAACTCACCGGAACGCTACGCTATGGCGTTGAGATGGGCATCGTTTCACACCTCAGCCACCGCTCAGTGCAGGTGTTTCGTGATCTAAGCAGCAAGTGGCACCGCTTCCTCCAGTTGTCAAGCACGCTACCCAACCCGCTTACGCCAGTAAGCATAGCCAAAGCTGCTGGTATCTTACGCCAAAATCAAGGCCCGCCTGCAAAATCTTTGCCAGCACAGCCCGCGCAGGACCAAGCAGAGCCTGCAATAGTTAATGATTCAGAAATTCAAATTCTGGTTCAAAAGGTGGTTCAAAAAGAGGGACCGATTACCTTCAAGTCACCAGAGCAGGAAATTGCCCTGCGCGCTATCCTGGCTGGAGAGACACCGCTTGTTGTTGTTCTTCCAACAGGTGGCGGGAAGAGTCTTCTCTTCATGGCGCCTGCGTGCCTCTCGGACCCAGGGGTTACTATTGTTGTTGTCCCATTCCGTGAGCTGCTGAAAAACCTGAAAACGCGGTTAGCTGAGGCGAAAATTCCAGCTACAGAATGGATACCTGGACTTTCAGCTAACGGCCCGGCCCCAATAATTTTAGTTAGCGCAGACGCTGCTGGGAGCTTTGAGTTTCTTACCTTTGCTACCCTGTTAATGCAAGGCGGCTGGCTTAGGCGCATCGTTGTCGATGAATGTCACTTGACATACACCAGCTCTGACTGGCGCCCAAAATTAGCCCACCTCGCTCGGCTGCGTGCTATCAAGGCCCAGTTCATCTTACTTACCGCTACGCAACCACCTCTACTTGAGTATGAATTAGGTGCAGCCATGGCTCTTCGCAGCCCACGATATATTCGCGCCCCTACTCTACGCCCAAATATCCGGTACC